ATTTATCGCTTACCAATTATGTTCTCTTCGACTTTTCGTCGCGAAACTGAAAAATCTTCTTTTTAATATTCTGTTACAATACAGTCCATTTATATTTATCATTTGTTTAAATTCTCTTTTTAATTAGTTTTTTTTTCTTCCAAATATGTTTTGGATTTATAGGGTTGATAACCCGTAAAAAATAAATCAATATTTCTTTCAGACATTTGTCGGTTCCTTCTCTTTCTCTTTTGCTAAGACAAACATATACACACACACACACACACTCATTCTCCCCCTCAACTATACACACATTTTCTCTATCTCTTAAGTACACAAACATTATCACTTTTTGCCAAGCACACACGCACGCACACGCATATATCCTCTATCTCTCTCTTTCTGTCTCTCTCTCTTACTCACATATAAACACATTCTCTTTATGTAACACAAACATACACACATGCTCAATCGTACACACATTTTCTTTTTCAAGCTAACCAACATATTCACTGTCTGTAAATGCACACACACATTATCTATCGATCTCTTACACACACACATACATAGATTCTTTTTCCCTAAGACAAACACACATATACACGCACATTCTCTCTGTCAGAACACACGTGTTCTCTGTATCTCTGAAGCACACAAACATATTCCCTCCCTGTCAAACACACATAATCACACACTCCCTGTCTCTCTCTTAAATATAAACATAGATTCTCTCTCTGAAGGATAAAACATATTCCCTCCCACACACACACACACACACACACACACATACACACGCTAAGCCATGCACACATGTTCTGTCTCTCTCAAGCACACACATTCCTTCATTCTCTTTAAAGCACACATACATTCCCTTTCTAAGCCCACGGACACGTTTTCTCGTTCAAGCACAAACATATACACATATTCTCCTTCACTCCCGCACACATGCACGCACACATACACACACACTCACATTGTTTCTAACTCAAGCAAATACCCAATCACATTCTCTTTCTCACAAACACACGCATACACATCTACATCTTCTCTCTCTCATTCACTCTCTCTCTCTCTCTCTCATTCACTCTCTCTCTCTCTCTTTAGCATACACATTCTTTCTCTTTGTTTCTATGCTCGTTCCTCAAGAAAGTCTAATAGAGAAATGCGATCGTTCACGTCTTCTCATTAAAAAAAAGGGATACTTGAGGTTTGTTGATTTTAGTTACATTTTTATGAAATATTTCCCCTTGTTCCTGACTATCAGAGTCTGTACTTAAAAAAAAATAGTGGATGACTTGTAATTTTAAACCTCGTTTTTAAAGCTCAGCATTTGCTCGCGTTATTAATTAACGTTAGCGGAATGTAAAACTGGACAGTTTCCTCACAAATGAAGAGGAGACTTGTGGGAATAAAGTTCGGTTGAAGGATGCTGAGAATGTCATGACTGAAGCAACGACGGAGTTTTAAGGAAAACAAAAGAGACACTTGTACATAGAATCAGAAAGCGACAGTTGATTTTTTTTGAATATATAATGAGGAAGAAAGTTTTAGAGAATTTGACACTCACCGGACATCTTGAAAGACACAGGGAATTAGCGAAATTTTCAAGCTTGTAAAAATAACAGAATAACATGACTTGGAATGGATATTAAAAAGACGATATACAAAGGAAAGGAAGTTGTGGAGAGCTATGAATCTTTACGCACTTAAGGAACTTAGCACGTAGTAGAAGAAGAAAAGAGTCAAGAAAAAACAGTGCCTCGTTTTGAAAAGTGGATTTATCGCTTACCAATTACGTTATCTTCGACATTACGTTTCTAAATTGAAGATTCTTCTGTTTAATATTCTGTTAGAATCTGGAGCATTAATATTTATCAGTTGTTTTAATTCCTTTTTTAATTATTTTTTAAGGGAGTAACTGTTAAAGTGTTGTCATGATAGTAACATGACATGGATACGAATTACACTGAGTGGTCCGCTCGTTGAAAAAAAGGGGAAAAAATTTTGAATAATTTTTTAGATTAGCATTCATTAGATCATCAGGAGATTTCTCAAAATGTAGAATATTGATTTGTCATGGGTTTAGGAAATGGGTTCGGTTCAGTCAATCTCAAATCGATTCTTGATTACATAAAGAGTTATCGGTACTTTATTTTTTATTGACAAATGCCAAATTTGAAACTGCTTCCGCTACATATTATTATGAATTAGGGAAAAGGAAAAAAATATTCTCCACCAAATGTTTTCCTGGTTTTTTTTTTGGGGGGGGGAAGTGGTATCAGCGGTTTACTTAATTTAAGTATTTCCTTGTCTGTCTATATTTCGGAGATGGGGTATTATGTACATTATTTACATTATTCGGACTATTGTCCTCATCTTTGTCGCCATATTTATTACAACGTTTAGGTCACTGTAGGCTCCGGCCTTCTTCAGGTGTTTGAAATGTCAAACTGAACCGTTTATTTCGCTCACTGGGGTAGACTCAAGGACACATGGCACAGTGGATTAAGGCATTCGTTAGATCCAGTGACAGGACCCAAAGACTGTGAGTTCAATACCCGGTTAAGGCAGTGGAGAACTTTCAGAGGGAAATTAACAGGAGATAACTGATAACTGACATCCATGGAACATAGAACTAAAACAGTCTACCCCTGACATAGAAATAAAAAAAAAACGAAACGTTGTAATAAATATAGCGACAAAGATGAGGACAATAGTTCGAATAATGTAAATAATGTATATTTCCCTGTCATATATGTGCTTATGTATATTGTTTTGAACACCTGTTTGCGTTATAGCCATTAATTATATACCAGGGACAACTACACAAAATAAAATGTCATATGTTAAAACTTGGGTGGATGCTAAGTCAGGTGTTAAGTTTTTAAGAAACCTGATTATATATCGCCCGGTTCATACGCCTCCATTTTTTCAACAGGAGTAGAAGTTTATGCATTGTTTTGTGTTTCGGTAACTGGTGATAAAAATCATATTTTACGGAAATTTCCCTAAAATATCATTTTTATCACCAGTTACCAAACATCGCCTGAGGAAGTACAATCATATTATTGAAACATTAAAGCTTTTGTGTAACGATTTAAAATATTTTTATTATTATTATTATTATTCTCTCTTATAATAAAAATATTATAATAATATTTTGCTCTACTTTGTATTGAGCACTTTTTCAAAAAGTCAGTGCTACGAACTGTGGATTTTTACTCCATTTTTTCTTTCTCTTATTTGTATACACACACTCGCACACACACACACACACACACACACACACACACACACACACACACACACATATATATATATATATATATATATATTGTCATCCACAGACAGACTGTTTCGCTGTATCACAGCTCATCAGTGTGGCTAGAAATCCGGTTGCATCTAGCTAGAATCGAAACCCGACTGAATTGGCTACCACTAAGCCGTTGGCGCACGGTAGGGATGGAGGTGAATTTAAGTGTATTTATTTTTAGATAAACACACAGTGACTGAGAGAACTCAATTCAATTTACTGAAGAGTCTTGCATTATTAGCCGTAATAGTCACTGTTTATAAACCCACACTTCCTCCTCAGAGAGCTCAACCGAGATAAATTTTTCAGGAACATATATATATATATATATATATACCAAGTATAAAATTGGTGTATACGGAATAAATTTCAATAACCAAAGATACTATTCTTCAGAGAGTGCTCAATACAGAGTAGAACAAATATAAAATATATATATATATATATATATATATATATATATATATATATATATATTACTGTTCGTCTGCATTTATTTTCTGGAACTAGACATATAGACTTTTTCTGTGTTTTACACCTACAGTTAATAAATAAATAAGTTTAAATGACTTATCCTTCAATAAGAAATTTCTCAGATGTAAGGATCTTGTTATCTGGCTAAGAAAAATCTATGAAATTAATTAACACATATTACATGTATTTATTAGATATATTAAATACTTTACATAACAAATGACAAAAATTTCAATGGAGCGATGTAAAGAGACTCTTTTCATATTAATGGGAACGGGGAGGGCGAGTATGAAGACGGCCTGTATCCCCCTGTCCTCTATTTGAAGAAAATGTGTGTGTAGTGTAGGAATGTTAGTATCGGGCTCCACAAGACTAAGAAAGCATTCATGTTTTCCGGCATCTTTCTTATTAGTGTTGAGTTATAATAGATCCTTTAAAAATAAAATGAATATTGGAATTATATGAACTGCACAGTCGACACCTCTGCTCACATTCAAGCATAAGGATCATGATCCTCTCTCCTTTCCCTTTCATCCCTGTGGTGGTGGAGATACCTGTCACGTGCCAGCCGACTCCTGAAGAGTAAAGAGAGATAGAGAGTTTGACAAGACCAATCGCATCAATTTGATTTTGATGGACAATTCCGCACGACGGAGACGCCATTACAGTTCGCCAGAAGATAATAAAGAAAAGTGAGAAGAAAATCGTTGGTTGTTTGTTTTTCTTTAACAGCATATAACCACCTCTATGGCTTATTTAATGCCGAAATCTAAATATTTTGTATGTAATTCTATTTATTTATGTATATATTTATTGAAATAATAATGCTTTTAGTGATACACATCTTACTAATTAATCCATAGTTGGGGGCAAAATAGGTGGAGTCATAACTGTTGTAATGGAATGTCCCATACTCCCTATTGCCTATGTGAACTAACTATATCAGTTGCTATATATAGTAAGCACAGGATAATTATGGGAATTACTAGCCTGCTAATCGATTCCCTGTCTTTCAGTAGTGTATACTCTTTTTAAATAAACCTCTGTTTCTTTCATCTACGCCTGTGTTTCTGTTCCTTTCACTCGAGTACCATCTTTGTCTGTTTGTAACTTCTTTAAAGATACAATAAGTTTTCCAAGTCTAAATATATACAACGAATCACACTGGAGTTGGAACTCGTCTCTCCGATTAACCATTACAAGCTATTATACTTTACACCACCCGCACATCTAAACATCTAGTATTCTGAAGCGGTCACTCATCCAGGTACTGACCAGGCTAAGCGTTGTTTAACTTCGGTGATCGTACGGGAACCGGTAGTTTCAACGTGGTGTGGCCGTAAGCCTGCGAGAAGAACGGAAGAAAACATCAACTGCAATAAAATAGAAAAGCATGGCTGTCAGCAAAAGAGACAGCTCGACATGCGAATTACAAATTGGAGATGACAAAATTAAAACAAGTGCAAAAATGTAAATATCGAGAAAGTGTTTAAATAGATGATGGAAAATGCAACACCAAAATCCGAAGGTACATTGGGATAGCGAAAGATGACTTTTAAAAGCTAAGCAAAGAATTAAGGAACAATAAAATTTAACCGAAATCAAAGAAATGAGTATTGAACTGTTATGTAATATCGGTCCTCTTATATGATACTGAATACTGAAGCATCTCATCACAGATGAAGAACAGAGCATACGCAACAAAAATGTGGTTCTTCGGAAGGTAGGCTCAGAATACCATCGACTGAACACATGAACAACAACGAAGTTTTAGAGAAAATAGAAATGAAAAGCACACATACTTAACATCAGAAAGAGATAGTTGAAATTTCTAGTGCGCGTTATGAGGAAAGAACGCTTGGAAAATTTGAAACTCAGGAAAAAATAGAATATATTACCTAACTAGCTAGCGTAAATGGTTGGGAAAAAGGTGTTAGGGAAAACAGCAAAAAAGCAAAATTTACTAAGAGCTATAAAGAACAGAAAGTTGTTGAGAGCCATGATAGCCCACGTCCTGAAGTAACCTGGCACATAGAAAGAGAAGAAATGGCGGAATATATATATATATATATATATATATATATATATATATATATATATATACTTGTGCCATAAAGTTCGTGTGCTCTTTAAAAAAGTATAACTTTATTTGTATTTGCGATAGAAATTTGGAATACAGCATGATTTCTTTAAGATGTTTTTACAGTAAGGTTTCCTCTCTACAAGTCCCGGGGGTAACTCGAGTTAGAGGGTTATGTTAAGGCGTGATTTATATGGATAGGAGGTTGGATAACGGTTGACTCTAGACTTAAATCGTTAAGACTGTGGTGATCGGTGAAGTATCCTCTTGGGAGTCTGTTTCATAGGCTGGTGGTTCGCGGTAAGAAGCTTTTTGAGTGGAAGTTACTTCACCGATGAATCAAAAGATGTAATTCGTCCGAGCATTTTCCTTAGTAGTCGCGATAATGCACTGAGAACTCGTCACATCCCGCCTGTGTGAGAGAGAGGTTAAAGTGTAGAAAATAAGTCTTCTCTAACAAGGACTACGCTTTTGAACTCTATCAAGACTGGAAAGTGATGAGTCGACAGCTCCTACTCAAATATGGCAACAGTAATCCATTTTCGACCTGATTTGGCTCTTATAAACCTAGGACGTTTTCTTTAGAGTGCATATATGAACAGTCACGCTCAAGAGACGCCATTGAATGAGCTTCTGTACTGTGTGAGCGCCGCTTTTACAATGATATTTCGTGCGGGTGATTTAGGTAAAATTATCGCATTACACAGGTCCCTAAATTCGTTTACAGTCCTAATTTGGCTCCCTGTCGGCGTTGAAACGTTGGCAAGAAGACTAGAGAGCCTGCTGCTGTTGGTGATCCTGAAAGCGGATTTTCCAGAGTGTTTTGAAAAGTAGAAAAGAAGGGATATCTATAAAAAGAGACCACTGAAATATCTGGGACACATAACTAGAAAAAAGAAGATTGGAGAATTCAACACACACAGAATATCACGAAAGGAAAAGAAGCTAGAGGAAACATCGAATAACCTATGTAAAAGAAAAATGCAGGAGGTCGTGAAGAGCCGTGTGCGTTCACGTCGTTATGTTATGGCTAGAAATGAAATTTGAATAGCATGAGACACTTGCAGCTTTCTGTGAATCTTTTATTCCCTCCTCAAAGCAGTATCAAAAACTAATTAAGGAAATCTTGAAAATTCTTAATGCATGTTCTTTGAAACCATCTGCTACAGTCTGCTAAGTAATGGCGAGTAGAGTTGGCCAGTTAACAGAATGGAAAATCTCCTGATATCCACTTGATAACTCCTTTAAATTTGTTCTTATTAATTGCAGGCTTTCAGCTGCTAATGGTTCAAAAATCGTAAATTATAAAATTTACTGAAAAAACAACAGTTCAAAATCTATAAAAAACCTCAGCAGGTCGACTAAAATTACATAAAATTCTTACGCTCATATATAATATTAGGTTGTCGTAGATGAAATGACGCGTGTTTTGGTTGGCTGTTGATCCGGTCGTCTAACGAAATAATTTCTTTAGTGTATAAAAAACCTTGACTTATTCCTAACTCATTTCTTTCCAGAAAATTTTTCTTTCTATATATTGTTACTCATAATCCCAAAGAAAATGATTACAGTGAAATAATGCCAAGTAAACTTACTGTATGAGTAAAAACTGGAAAAAGAACCATTTTTGCATCAAATCATTACATGCGATGAGAAATAGATACTCTTTGACGACAGTGAGTAGACCAGTGGTTAGATGCAAGTAAACCACCAAAACAATACCCAAAACCTCCACTAAGTTAGTTAATGGTTACTGTATGGTGGTCTTTCAAAGGGGTTATTCATTATTCATTCTTGCCTCAAGAGAAAACAATAAAAGCAACTTCGTACTGTGGAGAAATTGAATATATGCACGAAAAACTGAAAATGAAACACCCTAGACTTGTGAATAGGGAAGGCCCAATTTTGCTGCACGACAACGTACGGTCGCACGCTTCTCGTTCAACAGTTCAAAAGCTGCATAGACTGCATTATTAAATTTTGCCTCATCCTCCATATTCACCTGATATCTTTCTTACCGATTATCACTTATTCAAGCATTTTGAACTTTTCATACGCAATAAAGCATTCTCCAATGAGGAAAAGGTAATTGAATAATTTGAACAGTTTATCACATCAAAGGTCGATAATTTTTTTTTTAAAATGGGATCAAGAATTTAGAGATACGTTGGAGAATAATCATTCATCAACGTGAAGCCTATTTCTATTAAATGAATTAGATATTTAACATTACAGGAGCGTTTTATTAATTTCCTATAAAGTGAGTCACTTCAAGTGTGACAATCTAATATATAACAAAAGGATTAAGTAATTTAGTTAATTTCTGCAATATAAAACTCTGAAAGAAAGTCATCCATGGCGTTATCACATTTGACTATCAACCTCGAGATAACTCAGGCGCAGGAGAATTTCATGGTGGAGTATCTATTTTTCAGGTTCTAGTCTTTTTCTTCGGAAAGATTCTCGTAACCTTTTCAGTACGTCCAAATAAACATGCTCATTGACAGTTTGTTATTTGCGACGTATTTATAATAAAATATGTCCTTGTTATAAAAGAAATACATAAACATGGCCTTGAATCGTGAGCATGTTAGGCGTGCTTCATTCTGTCGTAGTGATTTTTTTTCTTTTCCATTGCATGCTCTGGAAATAGAACGTTTCATCACCGTAATGAACTTTGGAAACCATCACTGCATTAATTAAAATTTAAGAAGAATGAAGATGATGTTGTGCTGCTCATCTGTCAAGATTCAAAGTATCATTTGTGATGTGAATCTATCATCAGTTTTCAATTTTATAGTAAGTTCACCACATCCCGCTTGTTATAAAAAATGAATACATACTACTTCATCGACTGTTCAGCAACAAATGAATGATCTTGGCGGCATCTCAAAAAGGCAGAAAGCAGAAACGCCGGTGTGATTTCATTTAGATTCGTTTACTTTTTCTTTATGATTCCATCATTTTTGTTATTAAATAGCCCAGATTATGATAATAGAAGATCTACCAAGAATGGTAAAACGTTGTAAGAAGCTGGACGCAAATTTATTGTGGATGATTGAGCACTTTCTAAACATTCTCGTCTTAGTAAATTGTTTTCTCTTTTATTTATAGTAACGTTTTTTTTTAAATCAAAATTATCGTCAGTCTCGTTACGGTGATCAACTAATGCGATTAATGTGCCGTTTTATTTTTATTTTTTAAAATGCCTTTTGTGTTCATATATTATTTTATATAAACTGCTTTAGAATTAGACATATATTCTTTCTGGCAATTCTTGTAAATATTTTCTTCGAGTTTTAGCTTATTATTTCGTTTTGTATTAACTCTTTTCTTGTTTGTGACAAATTTTATATTGAGTTTAGATTAATTCTTTGAATTGTATTTGTAAATACCATATATTTATTATATATAGAGAGAAAAGCCGCAAACGTCTTTCATTATCATGTGGACTTTTTTATATAATTTATTCTATATATTTTTCTACACGTATCTCTGGTCTTGTGACCTTCATCGGGCAAAGTATGGTTATTTACGCATATTATTTAAAGGAATGAATGTTACACTTTTCTCTCATTGCAACAAAAATAATCTCTCCCTGAAAAAGACTTTCACGGCTCGGTGTTGACCTGCGCTCTGTTCCATGATATCTATCACTTTTGCCAATAAATATAGAATATCTATTAAAACTATATATATATATATATATATATATATATATATATATATATATATATATATATAAAATAATTAAAATATATGAATATAGATCCGGATATATATGAAGAAAAAAATATGCAGAAAAAACATACAAAAACCTTAATATGCAATTATGCTGTATTAATGTTAATATAAAGTCAACGTCGGACGTTTAGGTCTTTTCGTGTTGAATTTTTATATGTTCTAATGTTAATTATGTTTAAATGAAAATGTCCTGAAGATGGTCTAAAATAGACCGAAACGTCCGACGTTGACTTTATATTAACATTAATACAGCATAATTGCATATTAAGATTTTTGTTTGTTTTTTCTGTATATTTTTCTTCATATATATATATATATATATTGGTAGCATGTTATTACTGAAGCATGTGTTGTTAAATTGTGAAAGACTATGGAACTTTTACGTTTAATAATCATTTTGGGATTTTTCCTTGCTTTCTCTCTCGTCAACCGTCATCATGGCTGTATGTTTTGTTCTGAATTAAGTTGTTTATTATTTTATTTTTATAGATAATATTTTGAATATTTAGGCAATGTTTTTCAATTAGTTCATTAACAATTGGGAGAAGGTTGGTATTTATTATTTGGAGGATTATTTGTTAAATATGTATAATATTGTTGAATTATGTTTCTGGCAGTATTCAATGCTATTTTATTTATGTTGGGATTTTGTTTTTTAATTGTGATGAAACGCTCCGTGGTCATTAAGAACACATACCTCAATAATGATATTCTGCTAAGATATATATATGGGGGGCATTATCGTAGCGTTTTCAGTTTAGATTTAAATTTATAGTTGGAAAATTTAAATGTAATTTTTTTTTTTAAATTTTTTAATATATATATATAAATAACACACACACACACACACACACACACACACATATATATATATATATATATATATATATATATATATATATTTTAAGTGTTTCACCCCAAGCAAGGCGGGAAGCCACTAGGTTACAGAAAATTTGGAGCAAGATCAGATAGGGGTGATAGAAGAAAGGATGAGGAGGAGGGTAGTGGATAGATCAAGGCAACTGGAGATGTCGACTGAGATTACATTTGAATAGCTGGAGATTATAGCTCTCAGGGAAACTGGAATAGGGAAAGGTGTTCCACAGGCGAGAGGTGCGAGACATGAAGCTATTGGAGTAGAAGAGACGGATACATTTAGGAGTTTCGACAGTGAAGGGGTGAGAGCGGGATGCCAGCCTCGTAGGGCGCTTGAACTCATGAAGTCTGGGAACCAGCGAATGCAGTTCCTCGGAGCAATTGCCATGAAAGTATTTGTAAAACAGACAGAGAGAGGCGACGGCGCCTCTGTGAGAAAGTGACTGTAGACGAGATGCCAGAGCAGGGCCAATTATATTGCATATCCGCCTCTGGAGCCTATCAAGAACCCCGAGGCAAACAGAAGGGGCTCCAGACCATATATGGCAGCAATACTCCTTGCAAGGGCGAATTGTTGATTTGTAGATCTGGAGGATCGATTCTGGGGAGAAAAATTTCCTGGCATTGCACGGTATCTGTCGTTAAAGACTATGGAACTTTTTCGTTTAATAATCTTTTTATTTCTGTTTTTTCTTGCTTTCTCCCAAGTTTTTTTTTTTTTTTTAATTTTATATGGATGTAAGTTACTGAAAAATTACCCGAGTCCTTGGATTTTTGCCGAGGGCTTTCAGCTATTGTCAACTTTCATCATGACTCTATGTTTCAGTTTGAAGTAAGTTGTTTATTATTGTATTTTTATAGATAATATTTTGAGTATTTAGGCAATATTGTTGGATTATTTCATTAACAATTGGGAAAAGGACAGGTATTTCTTATTTGGAGGATTAGTTATTAAATATGTTTAAGATGTTTCTAGCAATATTAAATGCTATTTTATTCATGTTTAAGATATATAAGCAGTTTTGGCAATGACAAACTAAACGAAAGAACGATTTTTGTTACTGTGATTTTAAGTGAATGCATATGCAGGGAACTCGGAGGAGGAGGAGGAAGATTATGGTACGACATTTTTCTTAGTGATGTAATTTTCTATGCATAAAAGTTTGAAATATGGACTCTGTTCTTAAGCATTGATCACGCTTTGAAATACGCAACTGGTTTAACCAGCAAGTATGTCATGATATTTAATAAGCCTAAGACTACAAATATGAAAAGCACTTAGCGTGGATTGAATCACTTCGCACTTCTAATTGTCATCTAAAGGAACTCGTTAAACATTACTCCTCGTCAAGGCGCCTCTATTTACTAAGTTTAGCTTAGTTTGACTTAAGGCCACAAATATGGAGAAACCAGTGAGGATCGAATTCATTATACAATTCTAATGGTCAACTAAGCTATTTCAGTAACCACGATGAGACGTCCTTTATTTACTAAGTTCAGATTTGTCTGACTCAAGGTCTTAATTAAGCAAAATCTAGCCAGGATTGAACTATATAATAGCTGGAAAGTGTCATTTATTCACAATTACTTCATACTAAAAGTGTACGTCATCATTTAATTCAGCTTTCCATGGTACAACTATAGATTTAGATAGAAAGATTGTGTTGCGTCATTCTTTCAAATGAGACTTGCCAGACTAAAGTATCAATATTGAAACACGTAAATGTTTTTTTATCACGCATCTCTTTTTTTCATTTGTATTTTTCTCTTTCTATCTTTATCAGTATAACTTTCTATTTTTCTCTCCCCATTCCTTCCTTCCTTCCTTCCTTTCTTCCTCTCTCTCTCTCTCTCTCTCTCTCTTTCATTCTTTTTGGGCTGTATAACCAAGGTCCAGTTCTAGAGAAGTGTCTCATTCACCAGGTTGAACTTAAAGGTCAGTCAGGGAAATGTTCAAGAGAATGGATATATACGAGTGCAGTGTTCCTCCTTAAATGTGACCTCGTCTCAAACCTACCATTGTTGTATTTAGTAATATAGTCGCTATTCCTCTTTTTCTCTACTTTTTCCTTCCTCTTTTTCCTCTTTCTTTTCTTTCTGATCATATCGTTTCTTTCTACCTTCTTTTCTTTCATTTTTCTTTTTTCTTTCTCTCCTTATCTTTATCTTCATTTTTTTCTGCATTATGTTTTCTCGCTTTTTGTCTTTTCAGCTTTCTTTCTTTCTTTTCTTTCTTTCTTTCTTTCTTTCTTTCTTTCTTTTTGTTTGATATCCACCTTCTCTTTGCATCTTAAGCCTTTGTTACTTCTCTCTCTCATTTCCTACTTTTTATCCTTTTTTCTTTTTTTTTCTTTCTTACTCTTTCATTCTTTCTCTTTTTTTTCTTGCTTTCCTTCGTTCGTTCTTTCTTTTTATTTGATATCTCCCTTCTTTCCGTCTTAAGCCTTTGTTTCTTCTGACTTTTTCCTTCACGCGTTCTGTCTTTTTTCTATTTCTTTCTTTCTTTCTTTCTTTCTTTCTTTCTTTCTTTCTTTCTTTCTTTCTTCCGTTCATTAAATCTTTCTTTCATTCTTTGTCAAAAACAGAGAGAAGGTTGATATCAATCCACCTTTTTTCTGTGTCTTACGCTTTTGTTTTTTCAGTTGTTTTTTTTTCTTTCTTGCAATTCTATTTTTCTTTTCTTTTTTCTTTCTTTCTCTTTCTTCTTTCTTACATTCCCTCGTTTTTTCCTTCGTTTTGTTTGATATCCATCCTCACTCTCTGTCTTAAGACTTTGTCTTTTCTCATTTTTTTCTTTCCCGTTTTCCCGTTTTTCTTTCTTTCTTTTCTTTTCTTTCTTTCTTTCTTTCTTTCTTTCTTTTCTTTTCTTTTCTTTCTTTCTTTCTTTCTTTGTCATTGTTCGAAATCTTCTCTCTGTTTCTTAAGCTTTTATTTCTTCTGCCTCTTTTTATTTCCTGCTTTCTGTCTTTTTCCCCTTTCGTTTGTTCTTTCTTTCTTTTTGTTTCATATTCACATTCTCTGTGTGACTTAAGCCTTATATTTTAGTTACAGATTCTGCTCTTCATTTTCTGTCTAAGCACGTTTTTCTCACATCTCTGTCTTTTTCTCTCTTATCTCTATCTCTCTCTCTCTATCTCTATCTCTCTCTCTCTCACACACACACACATTTTTATTTTTCATTGTCCCTTCTTCTCTTTGTAATCAATTTTACATGACATAGCATTATTTTATGAAGAAATATATCTTTATGACGTTGCCTGGTATAAATTCTCATGATTTCTGTCTCCAGAACAGATTAAAAGGATTTATGATTTTGAATTATTTTTTCTCGTTATTTTCATTAATATGGTCGGCACAACAGGGATTAAGAGAAATAACAAAAAGACAAAATTTGCTAAGATCGACAAAGGACAGGATTTTGTGAAGAGCCACGATCGCCTACGTCCTCCAGGGACACGGCATATAGAATAAAATAATAGGAGGAGGAGGAGGAAAAGGAACAGAATAACTATTAGTCGTAGTTACAGCAATGTTATTAATAATAACGATTATAACGAGAACATTGGATTTCTTAACACCATAGATGTGTTACAGATGTTATTCTTGTGGCGTTTGTCTGCAGAGAATATAATGAAGTCTTACACAGGACACTTATGTGCTCAATGGCGTTAAACCTGGCGAGTGAAAATGCTAATGTCGTATCTGTAGGTCAACAGAAATAGTTTTGTGGCAAGTGAACACGAATTACGGATGAGTTATTTTGATTGAAAAAAAAAACCATTATAATAGATAAACACAACAGAATAAAAGAAGGTACAAATGGTCTACAACACGGATCTGTTTATATTACACGTTTGAAACCAGATTCTTGTTTTACTACTGCTCATTGTGAACTCTAATGGAACACAATATTAGCCATTATAGAGACCCAACCAACAGTGTTGTTACCATCATGAAAAATTGAATCCGATGTCCAATATGTAGTTTTCCACATGATCAGCTATCCGAAATACTTGTAATTTGACTAATTTATCCTAGAAACAAAGTATCAGTCTTCCAGAATCTAGTGGGAAGTTTCTTTTAGCCAAAGGAAAGATCATCTTCCCAAACCGTATCTCTCTTTGGGGATTTGGTCGCAATTACGCGATTCCTGAAAACTCCCCAAATAAAGAGTCGTATTTTAAATAGGCGCTGAGATGCGACATTAAACTGGGCGTACAATTTAACAACACCTTGCAGCATACAGTCAGGAGGATCGAATTGCGCGATTGAAGCAGTGTTCGCTATCAGTGGGTCATCACTAGTCCTGTTAGTCGCCAACGGTACCTCGCCTTCAGCACCTGTTGGCGCCTGCATGTTTTACGTTCCTCTGATGCTTTCGTTATATTCCCATATTCCTAATACGTTCTTGCTACTGGGGCCCGAGTAGAAGCCAGAGGTTATCATCTATTTAGCCGAAACAATCATTCTGCAATCATATGTTGAATTATGTCCGTATACCATAACTGCCACGGGTACATTACCTCTTACTATT